TGCTGATCAATGCACTTCATTAACTGATCACCGTCAGGATGCTGCTGCAGCAGGTGTGTGTCGATTAGGAAAAACATCAGCAATGACCTTGGAGTATCTTGGAGGCTGGTGGTTTGGGCTCCCTGCAGGCATTGAGTGGACCATGAGGACATCTGTCCACCAGCTGAAGACAGAGGAAGTGAAAGACCACAAAGTTTATTCCTAAGATGCTCAGGTCCAAAAACAAAAACCTCAGTCTTGTCTGCATTCAAAAGCAGAAAATGTAGGGTCATCCAGGTTTTTATTTCATTAAGAATCAGAATCAGAATGTTTTATTGTCCTTGCATAGTGAAGTACAAATTACTTTCCATACAGCTGTCCTAAAGATGGACAGAAGTGTACAGGGGCTGCAGCTTCTAAGATGTGCTGCCCCTGTTGCTTAGATAAGAACGGGGGAAAAGCATAAGGAGAGAGGTATAAAAAAAAGATCTCTCACATTGTGTCCTTGACAGGGCATGGTTTGAGGCATCACAAAAAGCTCCCACAGCAAACCAACTTGCGTGTGGATAGGGGTGGGGGTCCCAGTACGGCTGCCAGGTGAGCAACACAGCCCTTGGTGCCTTTGCATCTCCTAGGTTGCTGCGCCAGGGGGGCGAGGGAGGCCAGTTGAGGCATTGAGTTTGAGGGAAGGTCATAGCACAGCACAGTCCAGAGGCCCCTCCAGCCATAGTCCTGATGAGAGGTGCTTGTTTATCAGCCAGCTCAGTTGAGCTCTGTCACAGGTCCACAACCTTGGGGAAGGGAGGGGGTGGGGAGGGGGACAGAGCATCCTTATTTCCATAACATCCAAGGAGAAATTGAGATAGATTGCTTTCCAAGGCCAGGTCCAGATTCACATATCAACATTGTTTTGGGTCAGGCAGGACTCGTAAATTTCCCTGTCTGCCTTAACAGTTTCGCTAGTATCCTGATGCATGCTCAATATCTCGCTAGTACATTCTCTCATGGTGACCAAACAGCAGAATTTGATTTCTCATGCCAAGTCGAGCTTACAACTTCTCCAAGATTTATTCCTTCCAACCGCTCGTGGCCACTGCCAGAAAGTTCCACAGTCCTGATAAGGATCAGCATGCTCAGCTTGATACAGCACCACAGATAGTCTGCACAGAGTCTTGAGTGCTGCCAAGCTTGACACATTTTCCACATACCAAGCAGCTTAAACAGCTGCTGATGTTTTCAAATTTGTCGACAATCCAGACTTCCACTAATTCCAAAGTAAAATCCAGTTATCATAGATCCAACTATGTTTCCATCGAGGTAAGAGGGTTCTCCTTCACCCTGGTTACCTGTTGAGAAAAAAATGATCATTTTCATTGAGAGACCAGTTGATCAAATCCATAGTTTACAATTTGGAAGGTATGCAGAAAAAAGGGGCTCTGTAAGAGGAACACAAGACAAAACAGCAAAGCAGGGACAGACCGAGGGACAGAGCAGAGGAGGACGCATCTGCCTTGCACCGACCGAGAGGAAGCAAGAAAAAAAAAAGATTGTAATTTAAGTAACTGATTGGATTCATTGGGTTCTATGGACAAAACTGTGTATCATCAGCATAAAAATGAAAATTTATCCCAGTTTAGTTTTAAGACAGATTTTCCATTCTGGCTTTATTATTGTTTAATGATGACACACTTGAATCTGTGAGTTTTTGTTCACTTGAAGTTAGATTTAAATACTTTCAGAACCTGATACATGAAACCCTAGAACTAAAAGAGGGTAAGCTTTCCCCTTAGCCTCATACTAAAGTGGGAACAAGCACCGTTCTCAAACATCGTTTGGATGTGTTAAACACTGTTGTTTTATGTAACAATCACACATGTATTGTTGTGACTGTGTGAAACTTTGGCATGTTGGTTTAGATGAAGCATGGCTCCACCTCTTCTTATGGTAAATGGACTGCACTTATATAGCGTTTTTCTATCTTATAGATACTCAAAGCACTTTACACTACAATCTGTGTCCTCATTTACCCATTCATACAGCACTCTACTAGATCTCTACAAAGTTAATTGAACAAACCATTCTGAGACTAATCAGTGCTTTACATCACATTCATACACTGATGGGACACACATTGGAGGCAATGTGGGGTTTATTGTCTTGCCCAGGGACACTTTGGCATGTGACTGCTGGTGGATTCAAACCCCTAACTCCTGCATTGGAGGACAACTGCTCTAACCACTCAGCCACAGCCGCCCACATGCTGAAGGGGTGTGTGGTGGCAGGGTGATGGAGGTGGGGAGAAAGGGCCTGGCTGCTAACCTCGTTTGGTCTTTATTCTGAGCCAACAGGTTGTAGACTGTAGTGGGAGCATCTTCTCCAGCACACAAAAATAAAAATCAGATTTCTTTCCTAAAATATCAAATTATTCACTTTATGTACACACAATAACACAAAGACACACATGTACTGGTACACTCAGAGTGGACTGATTTAAAGTGCTGGAGACTTCACAGCACAGTGGTCCATCATCAGTCTCTGTCATGGAGCTGAAGATCAGACA